TGCAATTTCTCCGGGCCTGTTCCCTCTATTTAAAATCAAAGGGTCCCAGAGTTGGAATGGACCAATAGTTTAACCTCTTCTTCCAATCATATCATAACCAACCAGATAAATTACTGAGTCTTACCGTAGTCCTAATGAGTCAGAATCTCTGGGGATTAAGCCTGGAAATCTGAATTGTGGCACATTCACTGGTGAGTCTGAACTCCTTAAAGTTTCGGGACTGGTGTCACATCTAGTGTGTAAATACAGGATCCACAATGATTCTTCCTTTTGCCTCAGGCTCCAGTGTGCCTCAGTATGGCACTGTTACTCTACTTAAAATTTTGATATTTGGTTCATCATAGATTGCTTAGAATTAATTTTGATTTTTAAAGCAACACTGCAGTAAAATACTTCTTATCTCAGGGCCAGTGTTGTGACACAGTGGGTTAAGCTGCCCTCTCCAACACTGACATTCCATATGAGTGCCAGTTCAAGTCCCAGATGCTCCATTTCCAATCCAGTTCCCTGCTAATGTGCCTGGAAAATCAGCAGGAGATGGCCCAAGTACTTGGGCCATTCTCACCCAGATGGGAGATCCACATGGAATAACAGGCTCTTGGCTTCCGCCTGGCCCACCAGTGGCCATTGTGGCCATTTTGGGAGTGAACCAGTAGATGAAGAGCTCTCTTCTTTCTCGCTCTCTCCCTCTCCCTTCTTTCTCTATGTAACTCTGACTTGTAAATAAATAGATAAGTGAATCCTTAAAAATATTATATAGCTCTACTACTCATTTTCTTGGTATCTCTTTCACTTGCCTCATCCAGGTCCTGGCCCTGCCTAGGGTAATTGGCTTAACCTCTGGACCTTATTTTCTTCAATTGTAAGATGAGGGAATTGGATTAGTACAGAGTTTTTCAGTGAAGGGGATTTGGAGAGCATTAGAATTTTTTAAGGGATGTATAGTTGGAAAAAAAGTGAATTTTTATATGTAGTAAGTGAAAAAAAAACTTTAGAAATTCAAAATCTTATTTAAGTAAGATATTACTTTTTATCCTACCAAAAAGAGGGTATGGATTTAAATGGGCTGAAAAATTCTAAAAAATGTAACGTTACTTCAGGTAGAAACCCAATAAGTGTCCATATTGAAAGAAATGCAGCAGGTTCAAGTTTTATTGTTGTAATTGGACTATATATTTAACTGGACTAAATATGGATTCATAACTGTTTTTGAAGGGAAACTTGTCTAATTTCTTAGCTGATAGTTCACTAAGTTTCAGCTATGATGGAGTTAAGGCATTCAGGCTCAACAAATAACTTGAGGTCTTTATTAAATTTCATCACAACATGGTGGAATTTGTGTTTCTAAGATTGTGAAACACAGAGTTTGATCCAGCAAAAAGATTACAAACTGTGCAGTGTGCAAATAGACAGAATATTTTCTTTGTTTTGTAATTTTATATATAATATTTTCTTAAAGTTTCAATTGGTAGTCAATATTTAAAAATCAGAAGATTTCATATAAAATTATGGACTTCTAATTTCTCTTAACAAATGAAAACAGCTAGGACCATGTGCCCACAGTGTAACTGCTGGAATGGAGTAGTGAATGCCCCCTTCTGACAAGTCAGGCCTTTCCAGTTTGTCACAGTCCCTATCACTCACTAGTGTACCTGCCCTACCTCTATGTCTACACTGCCACTGCTGTGTCTATTCCATACTTGTTAGGCAACAGCCAGGTTTCTGGACTTAGTTCTCTGCTTCTCGGTTCATCAGAAAATGCCTGGCTGCAAATGGGGCAGATCAAGTCAGGCCATAGGACCTTCATTTGTTCCTCTCTGATGAGTTCCATAGCATAGGGCACCCAATTTATCGACAGACAAGCAAAGAAAACTAAGAGAGGCACCAGGAGATGCAGCAAGTCAAGACTGAATCAATGTCAGAACCAAGGACTCCCACCTCCATCCAGTTTTTAAATGTGTTTTAATTAGGGCCGGCGCCGCGGCTCACTAGGCTAATCCTCCGCCTAGCGGCGCCGGCACACCGGGTTCTAGTCCCGGTCGGGGCGCCGGATTCTGTCCCGGTTGCCCCTCTTCCAGGCCAGCCCTCTGCTGTGGCCCGGGAGTGCAGTGGAGGATGGCCCAGGTGCTTGGGCCCTGCACCCCATGGGATACCAGGAAAAAGCACCTGGCTCCTGGCTCCTGCCATCGGATCAGCGCGGTGCGCCGGCCGCATCGCGCTGGCCGCGGCGGCCATTGGAGGGTGAACCAACGGCAAAGGAAGACCTTTCTCTCTGTCTCTCTCTCTCTCACTGTCCACTCTGCCTGTCAAAAAAAAAATAAATAAATAAAAAAAAAATAAATAAATGTGTTTTAATTAATTAATTTCATGTATTTATTTGAAAGAGAGAGAGAATGCCTATAACAGACAGGGCTGGGCCAGGCTGAAGCAACAATCTGGATGGCAGGAACCCATGTACTTGAGCCATCACCAGCTGTCTCCCAGGATGCATATAAACAGAAGCCAGGATCAGAATCAGGGCTGGGTCTTAAATCAGGCACTCAAACATGGAATATGGGCATCTCAAGTGGCATCTTTTCTTTTCTTTTCTTTTTTTTTAGACAGGTAGAGTTAGAGACAGTGAGAGAGAGACAGAGAGAAAGGTCTTCCTTCTGTTGGTTCACTCCCCTAATGGCCGCTACTGCCGGCGCTATGCTGATCTGAAGCCAGGAGCCAGGTGCTTCCTCTTGGTCTCCCATGCGGGTGCAGGGACCGAAGCACTTGGGTCATCTTCCACTGCCCTCCCAGGCCACAGCAGAGAGCTGGACTGGAAGAGGAGGAACCGGACTAGTGCCTGGTGCCCCAACCAGGACTAGAACCCGGGGTGCCGGCACCACAAGCGGAGGATTAACCAAGTGAGCCACAGCACTGGCCTCAAGTGGCATCTTAACCACTGTGTCAAACACCTCCCCTCCTACCTGGTTTAGAATGATTTTCAGTATAAGCTACCACTTCCCTGAGAATGACAGTTCTGCTTTAAGCTTGGCTTTTTTTTTTTTTTTTTGACAGGCAGAGTGGATAGTGAGAGAGAGAGAGAGAGAAAGGTCTTCCTTTTCTGTTGGTTCACTCTCCAATGGCCGCCGCGGCCGGCGCACCGTGCTGATCCGATGGCAGGAACCAGGTGCTTCTCTTGGTCTCCCATGAGGTGCAGGGCCCAAGCACTTGGGCCATCCTCCACTGCACTCCCAGGCCACAGCAGAGAGCTGGCCTGGAAGAGGGGCAACCGGGACCGAATCTGGTGCCCCGACCGGGACTAGAACCCGGTGTGCCGGCGCCACAGGTGGAGGATTAGCCTAGTGAGCTGCGGCACCGGCCATAAGCTTGGCTTTTTAAAATATGTATTTATTTATTTGAGAGACAGAGATGAAGCTCCCATCTATGGGCTCACTCTCAAAACGCTGTAGTCCTGCACATCAGCAGAAAGCTAGAATTGGGAACAGAGCCAGGATTCGAACCCAGGCACACTGATATGAGATGTGGGCATCCCAAGAGGCAGCTTGGCTTTGAGAGGCCTGGAATGGTGGTACTTTCCACGCAGCTGTTAAAAGCTTCTGTTGATTTGGGTTCCTGGGAAGTACCTGGCCCTACATGGCAGCTCTTGGATTGCTGCTTATGGATTTTCCATAAGGCCACTTCTCCAGGAACCACTGCTGTCAGCCAAGCACTACAGTGAAAAATAAACCTGTTGGGGCTGGTGCTGTTGGCCTGGAAAAACAGCAGAAGATGGCCCAAGTCTTTGGGCCACTGAATCCACATGGGAGACCCAGCAGAAGCTCCTGGATCCTGGCTTTGGATTGGCCCAGCTCTGACCATTGCGGCCTTCTGGGGAGTGAACCAGCAGATAGAAGACCTCTCTTTCTTTCTGCCACTCTTTAACTCTGCCTTTCAAATAAATAAATAAATATGAAAAGAAAAGAAACCTATCACCCATTCTCCACTAAATTAGTTAATGAGGAAGGTGTTTAGTGTTTACCTCAGGTCCCAACATGTAGCCATACTGTTAGAGTCCATGGAGTTTCTTGGGTGGCCAATTCACATCTGGGTTGTGGGGCTGCCCTGATTTCTTGGTGGAGTCGGACAGACCAGTGCTTTCCATCCTGCAGTGCCACCTTGGGAACCTGGGTGTCAGGGCCATGTGTGCGGTCTCTGCATCAGAATTGCCTCCACACAGGCTCTGGGCTGGAGCCCTACCAAGAGATTCCATGCACTGTCCCACTCCAAAGGCCATGGGCATGTTTCCAGGGATCCCAAGCTTCCCTTCTTGGGGAATGGCACAGTTTCAAAACCAGGTCTTGGACTATACTACTCACTGCCTACTGTGGCTCTGTTATCCACAGGACAAGGCTTTGCATTGGGCAGCTTGCAGGGACAATGCCATCCTGTCCAAGAGCTGCTTTTCTGCACAGATTAAAATGGTAAGCATAGCCCAGGGGTATGGGGAGAGGTACAGGTTGCTGGTAACAGTCTAGCCAGTATAACCAAACAATGGTTTTAGCAAGTTCTGGGCAGTAGTTTACAACCCTAATCTGTGACAAGTCACTTCTAACAAACTTCTCTTCATTCCTACTGCTTCCTCATTCAGAAAGGGGGTGCAAGCATTGAAGAAGCCCACGTGGAGCGAACAGCAATCTGGCTTTTGATTAGATTCTCCCTGCCTCCAGGGGCCACTGGCTTGGCAGTGTAGACACAGCTCAAAAGAAAGTAGTAAAGGGAACCAGGGGCAAGAAGATGCCTGGGTGCCCAGGCCACTGCTGCCACTTACTCTGTATCAGTTCAGACACTGTGAGGCACAGATTCCAAACCCTTCCTAGCACCCTGAACTAGCCTTTCATGGTGGTTGAATGCCCGGGACCAGGCTGCGCCCTCTCTGGGACGGGGTGACCAGGACCTCAAGCACACTCCTCTTCACCTCCCTTTGCAACCCTGACTGATGCGGGATCCGTGAACGGACAGGCACTCACCGGCTCCGAGAGGCAGCAGCAACGGCAGCAGCAGGACCACTAGCGGCACGGGTCGCAGGTTGCTGGGACGCATCATGTTGGGGGTGCAGCGCCTGGTGTCTGCCCCGGACCGTTCAGCCCTGTTCCGGGCAACAGGCTCAACGCTCTTCTTGCTGGAGCTCAGCGATCCCTGGGCCCCAGGACCGGCGCCTCCCACCGGCACCTCCCGCCCCTTCCCGTGCAGCGCTGACACTCGCCCACCAGGGTCCTGGGCGCCGCCCTCCAACTCTCAGGCGCGCGCGCACCACACCGCCTCTAATGCTGCCCCGAGCGCGCGCCCCAGGAGCGGCTGGGGTTTGGGGCAGAAATAGGTGCCGCGCTCGAGTCTGCCCACCTGCTGCACTCCCGCTGCTAACTTCGCTCAGCAAGAGGCGGTGGAAACTGCTCCTGGACACTCGCAAATACTTCTCAAAAAAAAAAAAAAAAAAAAAGTCTTTCTCACTTTCCAATCCCCAGCTCCACCCCGGGAATGACTGCAACTACCACAAACAAAATCGTTTACCAACTCTTGAACAAATCAATGCAAAGGCACTTGCACTTCTAGTATTTTTCTTAGAGTTTGCACAACTGTGATCTCATTTTTCCCTTCATAAATATGTTCAAGAGTAAGCTTCAGATTAACCCCGAGATTCTGCAAAAATGGGTCCCAGACAGGTAAAATGACTTTTCTGGGAACAGACCTGGGGCCAAAGCCCAGGAGCTTTGTCAGTCTAGACACCAAAATTCAGCTCCTTGGGTATCAGGAGGGAAGATGGCTGGGTTAAATCCCTGAGACTAAATAGCACAGATTTCCCTGGACCAAAGACAAGGGCACTGAGGAAGGTGACCACTAAGACCATTTAGGAGCCGTTATTTTTGGTTGAAGACAATTTCAGAGAGCAAGCTGTTCTACCAGTATTAAACAATAAGGTAGAGACACCACTGTGCCCAGAATTCATGATGTCTACCCATATGGAAAAGGGTATTTATTAACCATGAGCCTGATTACCACCAGCTCAGAGGGTAAATATAGAGGCAAGAATGACTTGGAAGAATGAAAACCAGACAGTGCACAGAAAGACAAGAGGAGGATGAAAGAGGTGTAGGGTTTCATCCCCCAACCCTTCAACTTGGGCCCCTCCTTACTTCCACAGCCTGCCTGGCAGAGGGCCAGGAGGGAGGGTATTGAGAAGCTCAATAAAAACCTCAGAGATTTATTGGCTGCTGCTTCTGAATACGGCCATCCTGCTGTGGCCTCTCGGGGGCATTTGCCGATGTAATCAGCCCAGAAAGAGAGTCATTCCAGCCAGGGGTGTAAATCACCCTTCACAAAGCTACTAGAGAGACATGTGGCCCTAGATAAGGAAGGAGACTGATGTGGCCTCTGTGCCCTTCCCTCCCTTCTCCTGCCCAAGGGGAGCTGGTTCCTGAGCTGTAATGCACTTTAAATGGAGTTTGTGCTTCATTTTAATCTATATCTGCCCTGCCGGTTTTATAGGAGAGCTGTGAAAGTGAACATCTGGCTGCCGAGCTACTGCACAAGGGCCTGTGTTCCCCAGCGCCACCCTATCTCTATGTACCTTTCTCAAGCCCCTCCCTCTCAGTAAGGTTAGGCAATCTGAAGCTGGAGAGCAAACAGCCCCCTCTTGCCCCTCCCCTCTGGAAAGAGGAATTTACAAAACAAAAGGTAACTAGGTGGTTGGGATGCTAGGGAAGGGCTGAGGCTCATGAACCAAAAAAGATGTGAAGTTGTCAAGGGGTATCCATTCTGCCTTGCCTCTTCTCCAGCAACCAAGCCAAGTTTGCATAGGAGGGGTGCCTCTCTATTACTAGTATCCCCCAAGGAATGGATCAAGAATCCAGGAACAGAGTCAAGTTGGTGGGTGGGGAGCAACACCCAATACCATCTGCAAGAGGTTAGCTTTTCTCTGAGAGTGCATGAGGTGCCTGGAGGATCTTTCTACCTGGGCACAGGAGTAGAGACTAGTATCAGTGGGCCTTAATAAAGGACTGGTAACCAAGGCTAGGGGAGGTTTGAGGAGCCTGTGCAAATAAACAGAACTCTAAGACTAATATTGACAACTCTTAGCATACTCTCTCCCCACCAACCATGTCCTCTGTGACTGCCAACACCTGCTAGATAAGCAGCATTGCCGTTGGGAACCTTGTGGTTAATGACGAATGAGCCAGTCCTTTCCAGAAAGATGATGTTACTCAGCCATCATTCAATTCGGTAATGTCTTTTGATTATGGATCCAGTTTTGTGCTAGGTGCAAAATGATGAAGACACAAACCCTACCTTTCAAACCAGATTATCAGGGCGTCAAGGTCCAGACTCTGTATCTTACTCCACTTTCATCTGTAATCTTGATTTTCTTCTCTTAAGGTTGGACTATATATGTGGATTATGCCTTCTTTCAAGTGTATTTTTCCTGTTGAGCCTTAATCCCTGCTGCTATCCTAAATTATGTTAGCAGTATAGTGAATAGTTAAGACTACAAGCTTTTATAGATTGCTCAGGTTCAATACCATTTACAATACTTGTTGGGTGATTTGGGACAAGTCATGTTTTTTGTGCTTTTGTTTCTTCATCTTTAGGGATAATAGTATCTATTGCAAATAATAGTTGTGAGAACTTAACAAGTACATATTGGGGGAAAGGGTTTAACATAGTTCCTGGCACCTAGCAAATCACTGAATAAATGATAACATCCCAGGCAGCATGTGGAGTTAATTCAGGAACTATGATGTTCCTCATCACCAAACCTGCTGATTTGGAGCTGGAGGTTGCCGTATTTCTTTTTTTGAAGATTCTTGTGGGCTTGGGTGCTTGTAGTGGTACAAACAACAAACCGTTTTCCTACTTTGTGCATTTAAAACATTTTTAAAACTTATTTCATTTTATGGGGGCCAGCACTGTGGCTCAGTGGGTTAAAGCAGCAGCCTGCAGTGATGGCATCCCATAAGAGTGCTGGTTTGAGTCCCCGATGTTTCACCTCCAATCCAGGTCCCTGCTAATGTGCCTGGGAAAGCAGTAGAAGATGGCCCAAATGCTTGGGCCCCTGCATCCACAAGGGAGACCAAGAAGAAGCTCCTGGTTCCTGGCTTAGGCCTGGCCCAGTACAGGCTGTTGCAGCCATATGGGGAGTAAGCGAGCAGATGGAAGATCTCTCTCTCTCTCCTTCTCTCTCTGTAACTCTGCTTTTCAAATAAAATAAAATAAATTTGCAGAGAGAAGAAGAGAGAAAGAGAGATCTTCCGTCTGCTGGTTCACTCCCCAAATGCGGATACACACACACATTTTCCCTTCTCTCTAACTCTACCTTTCAAATAAATAAATCTTAAAAATAAATAAATTTACATGTGTAGATACACACACACACACACACACACACACACACATGCACATATCGAGAGGGAGGGAGGGAGGGAGAGAATATCTCCCTAACTGGCTGTAACTGACAGGGCTGACCAGATCTCTCACGTGGGTGCAGGGTCTCAAGCACTTGAGCCATCTTCAGCTGCTTTCTCAGGCACATGAGCAGGGAGCTGGATCAGAAGCGGTGCAGCTAGGACTCAACTGGCACCCATATAGGATGCCAGCATTGCAGGTGGCAGCTTAACCTGCTACATCACAACACCAGCCCCTTAAAATACTGCTTTTTAATTTTTTAATGTTTCTCATTCTTATTTTTTCATATTCTGTTTAAAATATTTATTTATTTATTTAATTTGAAAGGCAGAGCTACAGAGAGGCAGAGGCAGAGAGTGCGTGAGAAAAGTCTTCCATCTGCTGGTTCAGTTCCCAGATGGCCACAATGGCCAGAGCTGTGCTGATCCAAAGCCAGGAGCCAGGAGCTTCTTCCACATCTCCCACATGTGTGCAGGGACCCAAGAATTTGAGCCATCTTCCACTGCTTTCCCAGGTCTTAGATGTGAGATGGATTGGAAGTGGAGCAGCCGGGACTTGAACCAGTGTCCACACGGGATGGCGGCACTGCAGGCCACAGCCTTACCTGCAATGCCGCAGCGCCAGCGCCTCTCATTCTGATTTTTTTTTATTAGCTTTTAACTGATTTAATATAGTTCATAGAAAAAATTCTAAGAATATGATATTCCCTTCCTCCCTCCTTAAAACATTTTAATATTTTGAGAGGCTGAGAGAGAGAGAGAGAGAGAGAGAGAGAGAGAGCGCACCCTCCTATCCACTGGTTGATTCCCAAATGCCTGCAATGGCAGGGACTGGACTGGGCTAATGCCAGGAGCCAGTAACTCAATCCAGGTCTCCCATGTGAGTGGTAGGAACTCAATTACTTGAGCCATCACTGCTGCCTCCCAGGGTCAGCATTAGCAGGAAGCTAGAGTCAGGAGCTGGAGCCAAGTATTAAACTCAGGTACTTCAATATGAAATGCAAGCATATTAACTACCAAGTTTTGTAGCTTCACAGACAGTACTGGAAGGCTCTGTTGGTTTGGCTGTCTGGTGAGGCCAGAGGATGACACTCATGGAGTGTGTGCAGGAGAATGACCACATGGTGATCCAAGAAGCAGAATTAGGAGGTGGGGGTGAGTTATAGGTTCTACTCAACTTTATATAATCAACCTTCCAATGATCACTGTCTTGTGAGGGTATGCTACCAATGATATAAGGATATCCCACTAGGCTCATCTCCTAAGCATGATTGGATCAAATCTCCACCTTGTAGTATCATTAATTCATGACTTTGGGACTTAATTGTCAGCATGAGATGGGGAGCCATGTCATGTTCCAACTATGGCACCAACTTTTCAAGAACTTAAAATTGAGGCTTGGCCGGCGCCGCGGCTCACTAGGCTAATCCTCCGCCTAGCGGCGCCGGCACACCGGGTTCTAGTCCCGGTCGGGGCGCCGGATTCTGTCCCGGTTGCCCCTCTTCCAGGCCAGCCCTCTGCTGTGGCCAGGGATTGCACTGCAGAAAGGACCAGGAGCTTGGACCCTGAACCTCCTGAGAGATCTCGCAAAACGGCTGGCTGCTGCCAACCAATTGAGCTATCATCTGCTGTGTTTCAGAATATGTAAGCAGCAAACTGAATCAGAAGCCGAGTAGCCAGGACTCAAACCTGCACTCTGATATGGGATGCAGATATCCAAGTTGGGTCTAAAATCTGCTGCAGCACAACACTCATTGATTTTTTTTTTTATAAAGATTTATTTATTTTGCCGGCGCCGCGGCTTACTAGGCTAATCCTCCGCCTTTGCGGCGCCGGCACACCAGGTTCTAGTCCCGGTCGGGGCACCAGATTCGGTCCCGGGTTGCCCCTCCTCCAGGCCAGCTCTCTGCTGTGGCCAGGGAGTGCCGGTGGAGGATGGCCCAAAGGCCCTGCACCCCATGGGAGACCAGGAAAAGCACCTGGCTCCTGGCTCCTGCCATCGGATCGGTGCGGTGTGCCGGCCGCAGCGCGCCGGCCGCGGCGGCCATTGGAGGGTGAACCAACGGCAAAGGAAGACCTTTCTCTCTGTCTCTCTCTCTCACTGTCCACTCTGCCTGTCAAAAAAAAAAAAAAAAAAATTGAGGCTTTTACAGATTTATTTTATTTTATTTATTTTTTGACAGTCAGAGTGGACAGTGAGTGAGAGAGAGAGAGAGAGAGGAAGGTCTTTCTTTTGCCGTTGGTTCACCCTCCAATGGCCGCTGTGGCCGGCGCACCGCGCTGATCCCATGGCAGGAGCCAGGTACTTGTCCTGGTCTCCTATGGGGTGTAGGGCCCAAGTACTTGAGCCATCCTCCACTGCACTCCCTGACTACAGCAGAGAGCTGGCCTGGAAGAGGGGCAACCGGGACAGAATCCGGCGCCCCGACCGGGACTAGAACCCCGTGTGCCGACGCCGCAAGGCGGAGGATTAGCCTAGTGAGCCACGGCGCTGGCCTGGCTTTTACAGATTTAGCATCCAGTACACTATGAATTATAGAAAGATACACTGTTCTTTGGTGAGAATTTGTTAACAGCAAAAATCACAAAGGGCAATGACTACTGAATCATATTGTCTGGGTTCAAAGCCCAACTCTGACATTTATTAGCTGTGTAACCTCAAATAAATGACTTAATTCCTCTGACCCTCAATTTTTGTATCTGCATGCCTGGCAGAACTGTTATGAAAATTAATTTGCTTTTATATAAATTGAGTTTAGAAAGTTATACAGTATGCAAGGAACACCTGAAAAAAGTTAGCTAATACTTTTATTCCTGAAAATTACATGAATCAGATAACATGGTTCCCCCACACAATGGGAGGATATTATAAGAACATGGTGCTGGGGCCCGCACTGTGGCACAGTAGGTTAATCCTCCGCCTGCAGTGCCGGCATCCCATATGGGCACTGGTTGTAGTCCCAGCTGCTCCTCTTCCAATCCAACTCTCTGCTATGGCCTGAGAAAGCAGTAGAGGATGGCTCAAGTCCTTGGGCCCCTACACCCATGTGGGAGACTGGATGAGGCTCCTGGCTCCTGGCTTTGAGTCGGTGCAGCTTTGGCTGTTGCAGCCATCTGGGGAGTGAACCAGCGACGGAAGACCTTTCTCTCTGTCTCTCCCTCTCACTGTCTGTAACTCTATCTCTCAAATAAATAAAATCTTTAAAAAGAAAAAAAAAAACAAAACAAAAACAAAAAACATGGTGCCTTTGGGCAAACACAACTTTTCAATGAGTAGATAACTAAGTCCAAGCTTTTTGTCTTGAGACACAGAACTTGCTACTTAATTAAGATTACTGAAATGTGAATATATGTACAACAATGTCTTCCCAGGTCAGGGCTTAAATCTGTCTTTCTGGGGAGAATTATCAGGAAATGAGGCACTAGGACAGGCAGTGAACTGGGAACCATCCTCACACTTGGAAGAAGAGGTGTTTCAAGAAGTTTTCCCCTTGGGCTACTGGGAATCCCTGCTTGGGGGACAGGGATACATGTGTGGGTCAAATGAAGAAGAGCAGTGTTCCCCCAGGTGCCTCCACCTAACACAGCAGCAGCTCCCCTCTCCTTTGTCCTGCCAGCCCTCTGAGCTCCGAGCTCAGGCAGAGGGTCAGGGAGGTAGCTGAACTCTTGATGACAGGCAGGCGCAGTAGGCAGCAGTGGAGGCTGCAGGCACTAGCTGGCTGTCCTGGAGAATACAGCACTGCCCTCTGCTGTGAGGTCTGCACATGGCAATTCAGGGCACGGGCAATGCACAAAGAACCTCGCAAAAAAACCAATCCAGTCGCCCAGGTTGCCCTGCGACTACAACCCTTCTTCCCTCTCAATTAAAAAAAGATAGGTAAAAAAAAGTTTTCCTGCTTCAGAACCTAGAGAGGTTATTTCTGTCTCTATTCTATCTCAGCCTAGGCTTCAGAGCACTTTGCTCTTTTCTAGTCCTGGGCTATCAGTGCTACTAAGCTAATGCCAGAAAATGATAATGTTCATCCAATTCCATGCCACCCTTGGCCAAATCAGGCTATGCCTCACTGTTCAGATAAAGCTTACCCACCTTAAGGAGCTCTAAGGAAGCAAAGCCTGGGATGAAGCTGAAGATTGCAGTTTCAAAGATTCTTCTTATGTCTAATGATCTTACTTGATACTTTTATTTTATTTGTATCAGTATATCACAAATCTCTACTTCCAAGCACCCTAAATCCTAAACTTGTGCTTATGAGAAACAGAGTAAAGAGTTTGGAAAAGTCAAAACTCCACTGCAGACTGGAACCTTTCGAGCCTCATCCAGATCAATGAGAATGCCAATCATCTTGGTTTTCCTTTTTAAAAAAGTTAAACCAAGATTGCTAATGTGTGGTTTTTTTTTTTTTTTTTTTTTTTACAGAGAGGCAGAGGCTCAGAGACAGAAACAGAGACAGACAGACAGACAGAGAGGCAGAATGAGCTCTCATCTGCTGGTTTACTCCCTAAACACTCACAATAAAAATGAGTGTTGTGGGGCCAGCGCTGTGGCATAGTGGGTAAAGTCTTTGCCTGCAGTTCCAGCATCCCATATGGGCACCGGTCCGAGTCCTGGCTGCTCCACTTCCAATCCAGCTCTCTGCTTTGGCCTGGGAAAGCAGTAGAAGATGGCCCAAGTTCTTGGGCTCCTGTACCCACTTGGGAGACCTGGAAGAAGCTCCTGGCTCCAGATTGGCACAGCTCCAGCCACTGCGGCCAATTAGGGAGTGAAC